TTAGGATTTAGTTTATTAGTTTTTCTGGGTGTTTTCTATAACTGCTCGTGATGGACGGTTAGTTTTCTATCTCCTTGGTCGTGCAAATTTGCTTCTTCCAAACCAGTTTCAACTCCTCTTTCTCCTAAGTCTCTACAGCATTCGGATGATTCTTCCCCTTTTTCTGATCCCACACTTTATAGAAGTCTTGTTGGTGGTCTTCAATACTTGACATTTACCTGTCCAGACATTGCCTTTGCAGTTAATCAAGTATCTCAATTTATGCATTCTCCCTTAGACATCCACTATACTGCTGTAAAAAGAATTTTGCGATATTTGCATGGTTCACTGAGTCACGGTTTATTTATTCCTGGTGGTTCTATTGACAGTTTACACTGCTATAATGATGCAGATTGGGCTGGTTGTTCTATAACTCGTCGATCCACTGCGGCCTACTGTATCTTCCTTGGCCCGAATCTTATTTCATGGTCCTCTAAGAAGCAGAATGTTGTTTCCCGATCAAGTGCTGAAGCTGAATATCGCGCAGTTGCTCACGCAGCTGCTGAATTCACATGGTTACATTCTCTTTTAAAGGAACTTCATGTTTCTTCTTCTTCGCCTTCCACAATTTTCTGTGACAATATTAGCAGCATATATTTGGCACAAAATCCTGTTCAACATGCTCGTACCAAGCATGTCGAGATTGATATTCATTTTGTTCGTGAAAAAGTTGCCGCTGGTATTCTTCAAGTCCATTATGTCCCTAGTCAAGATCAACTTGCAGATTTATTTACCAAGGCACTTCCTTCACCGCGATTATTGTTTTTGCGCAACAAGCTCTGCATTCTTCCAGACCATGCATCGCTTGAGGGGGCGTGATAAATATATAATGTAATTTTTGAATTTTAAATCATTATTGTACTTAGAGATAATGTTTATCTTTTAGATCAGCATGTAACTATAAAAGCTCATTGTATCTGCAACAATATTCATCAAGAAATATTACTTGTTTCACCTTTGACAGGTGTAAGTTAGAGAAAAAATCAAGAGATATTTCCATTTTTCACCTAACACAATAGGCCGGTCTCTTTACCTCATAGGTTGGAATATTCTATTGTTAATTAGAGAATTTTAAGATTAAGTGCAGCCTGTTTCCTCAATTTAATTATGAAAATCGAATTTCGGTTTCTGACTCTGACGTTAATAATGTGATTCTATATGCACCAAAGGTTGAATTAACGGACTGACTTCGATCGAAAATTATTGTGACCGTCTTCGGTCGCCACATCTTAGCGATCACTATTATTTCGAGGAATTAAAATCAATCGGTCGGTTTTCCTATATTTTCGACCGATTTCAGTTGGTTCTCCTGGACGATTTTTGATAGTTTGCTAGTAGTGTGCATCATTTAAAGAACTTACAGTGACTCATAAATAAATGAGAAGGATTCAACTTATATATATCAAATGTAAAAAAAATTACTCTATTAATACAATTTAACTTGTTATAGCTGTAGTAATTTTTGATGACCTCAAGTGTAAAAACATTTTCCACCATTCGTCTGTAGAAGTTAATTAACTCTAATTAAAAACAGAAAGGCCTGGTCATATAAATTATACTCCTATAGTCAAGGTATTGGTATCTTCTACCAAAATATACTATGGTGGATGACAGGAAAATTTTTCAGATAACTCACAAAAATATATATTATAAGAATCTAAAATTCATGCTTACCAGTAAGTCGATTAGGTAAAAACATACCAAACTTTGGCTTTTTACAAACAATGATGCTGGCACTTTTTATCTTGATCTTTGTTACATTACTTTAATTAGTCCTTTTTACCTGAAAACGTGTATACAAATAAAGTGATACACCTGAAGTTGAAATTTACCTTCTGGAGTTGCACTGGCTTTTGGCACTTATCAAAAGATTAATTAACATTTGAACTCTTTGTTAAAAGCAGCAGATTAGGCTCTTATATGACAAACTAAATGTTTACCCTCAAATTCGGATAACAATTAAACTTATATTGTGGTTTTAAGGATATGTGGTTTCATCCAATACCAATTAATAAGCAAGAAAATAAATGAATAAAATAAATCAAACTAATATGCTAGCCAGGTCTCGACCTCGACTCGGGATAGTCTCGAGGTGGAATAGTAAGAACAATAAATGATAAACCAAGTCTGATGAATAATAAGTGAAATAACAGGAAAGTAACGAGTGTATATATTCTTCTTAGTGAGCAATGATCATTACAAATGAATGTGGTCCCTCTTTATAATTTATATAATAGAGGAGTCCTAAATAAGGTACACTTCTAATTATAGTAGGAAACCATATTAACATCTGATTAACCGTGGTAGATTGATCCGTTTCAAGATTCACGCCACGATCCTCGATCAATTGCGGATATCTCGCCTTTTCCGTTATCAAGCTATACCGATATCACTCGGAGTCTGTCTCTTTCTAGCCGCGATTGACGTCGACCTCGGTCTGAAAAGAGGCTTCCGAAATTCCGGACTCGACGTCCTAGCTCCTTGACGCGACATTCCTATCTCGACCAAAGAATGAAATCGGGTTACTGGATACACTAAACTAATCGAAGAACATAGAAGTAGACAATTTAGTTAATTATGCCTTTTCAAATTTTGTTTCCCCCTAAAATTACTAGTTAAATTCATATTGAGATGGCTTCTTAATTGGTGATACAGAAAAAAATAAAGTGATAGCATACTGTAATTTTAGTACTCTATTTTTCCAATATATATGGCACAATTATTAGTTGGTAGTTGTTGAGAAGGGAATAACTTAGCACGTGAGGAAGACATGTGGTGGTTAGTTAGTTAGGAGATAACAAAATATAGTTATTTGTTAAGTGAGTAGTATAACTGTAATTAGCTATCATTAGTTAGGATAGTTAGTGAGCATTATATATAAGGGGCTATGTACATATTTCATTTATAGTTTTTCAATATAACACTAAAATCGGTTACTACATTCCCTCTCTCTTCTCTCCTTCATTTCTTTCTCTAAGAAGCTAAGCTTCCATGGCAGTCACCTCCTAAATTCGGCATGGTATCAGAGCCATGAGGCAATTATTGTGGTCTTAAAAGTTCGTAATTAGCTAAATTCGTCAGTTTTTAGCTTCAATTTAGGAGACAGCTTCTTCTGAATCTTCTTCGATTTCTAGGGCACAACTTGAAGATTTTGACAATGGCGACAACATCAGACAACTCTTTGCTTGAGAATTTGAGCCATAATCATCCTTTATTTTTGCATTCCACAGATAATTCAGGAGCGATACTAATTTCTCCGCAACTAATAGTATCTGGAAACTATTCCATATGGAGCAAAGCAATGCGTATTGTGATCCTAGGATGAAATAAGATGGGATTCATTGGAGGCACCTATAAAAAGGAAAGTTATGGTCTAAATTTGACAGATCTGTGGGAGAGATGCAATGCGATCATTCTATCGTAGATAATGAACTATGTCTCGAAGGATTTACTGAGTGAAATTGTATATTCTTCATATGCATGTACTGTTTGGAGAGATTTAAAGGAGAGACTCGGCAAAGTGAATGGATCTAGAATATGAATCAAGGAATCAGTTCTATTGCCAGTTACTACTCTAAATTGCGCGAACTCTAGGCTAAATTTGACAGTTTAGCACCAGTTCTTGGATGTGATTGCCCAAAGTCAAGAGATTATGTAACTTTCATGCGGAGGCAGAAGTTGTTGCAGTTTCTCATGGGGCTAAACGAGACATATGAGCAGGATCATGATGATGGAGCCACTTCCAACAGTGAACAAAGCTTACTCTATGCTGGTTGAAACAGAGAGCTAGAGAAGTATAGCAAATATGACAATTGTTAAAGACAAAACTGAAATGACAGCTCTGCTAAGCACAAAAGGGATCCTATGCTCAGAAAGTTAAAAGGAATTACAACGTCCAATATGACTACTGCAAGATGAAGGGCCATACTAGAGATGGTTGCTTTAAGTTGATTGGCTATCTATAGGATTTCAAGTTCAAAAAGAAGTTTGAAGGCAATTTTGCACATAATGTGGTTTTGGGAGACAACAGACCTCTTGATGCAGGGGGAGGAAGGAATCAGCCTTCATATGGATTGAGAGCAGCATATGCATTTAAGGGACCTACATTCACTCCACAGCCTCCACATTTTACTGCAGAACAATATAATCAGATAATGAAGCTCCTCAACAAAGAAAACATACTTGAGAGCTCAGCAAACATGGAAGGTAGCTCAGCGAATATGACATGTAGTATTAAAGCTTTCTTTGCAAATGAATATAGTGATGAATGAATTATAGACACTGGAGCAACAAATCATATGATCTCAAACCTAGAACTACTGAAGAATAGGCTAGAAGTTTGTCAAAATGACTCAAAAAGGGTACATCTACCTAATTGAGGAGTCTCACATGTAACTCACATAGGGTCTTGTAATGTGATGAACACAGAAAGAATTGATAATGTTCAATACATACCTAATTTAAGATATAATACCTTATCAGTATCTAAGATCACCAGAGCTTTAAGTAGTTGTGTTGGGTTCTACCCTGATTTTTGCATCTTCCAGGATCTTTTCAGTGGGAAGGTAAAGGAGATTGATAAATGAGTAGACTCTACTTGCTTCCTCAATCTTCTGCCTAAAGGAAGAGGATTGCATTGTTGGGACTATCTGGTAGGAATAAAAGTCAGGACATTGAGTTGTGGCATAGGAGATTAGGACATGCTTCTATAGGATCAATAAGACATTTGTTTACTTTGGCATATGATGAGTGTAAAAGAAGGTTAGGAAGCTGTAATGTCGACCCACTAGAAAAACACACTAGATTCCATTTCAATGATAGTACTAATAAAGTCGAGGAGATCTTTCAGTTGTTAGACATTGATGTACGGGGACCATATACTGTGCAACCCTTTGATGGAAATAGATTATCATTCATGGATAACTTGTGTATATCTACTGAAACTTAAAAGTGATGTGATAATAGTACTGAGAAATTTTCTTAGACTTGTTCAAACACAATTTAACAGAAATGTAAAAATCATTAGAACTAACAATGGAACAGAGTTTGTAAATGCAGAATGTAGTATATTATTTCGGGATTATGGAATACTTCATCAAAGAACATGTGTCTACACTCCTCAGCAGAATGTGATAGCTGAGAGGAAGCAAAGACACATATTGGAAATTGCAAGGGCTATGAGGTTCCAAGGAAATACACATAAGTTATGGGGGCATTGTGTGTTAGCTGCAGTATATGTGATGAACAGGCTGCCCTCCAGAGTCTTGACAAGGAAGAGTCCATTTGAGGTTTTTCATGGTAGAAAAGCCAGTATAGAGCACATTAGAACTATGAGATGTTTGTTCTATGCAAAGAAGATGCACATCAGTGACAAGTTTGGAAGTAGGGCAGTTGCAGCAGCATTAATGGGGGTATTCAGAGGCAACAAAAGGCTATATATTGTATTATCTAACCAAATAGTGCTTCTTTGTTAACAGGGATGTCACCTTCAATGAAGCAATCTTCTCTTTCAGGCATAAGAAGCATCGGATTGGTAGTTGCACAAGAAGGAGACTTTTCAAAGGGAATTCCTTTGGATGGGGCAGATACAGGCCACTGGCATTCTTTGGAAGAAGCAGATGCATGACACTTGGATGCTATAGAACCTAAGAAAACAAGTGCAGACAACTTGGAGCAGGAACATACTACAGATATCAATGAGATCACACAAGTTGATCTAGCTATCAGGAAGTCCAACAGAGATAAGAAGACACCAGTATAGATGACAGATTATGTCACTGCAGCTCTAGATAAGTCTCCAAAGTCATACTTCATCTGCA